GCCTTGGGGCACTGGCTGCTGCCGTGGTAGCAGTGGCCCTAAACCCTTTTAAATCACTGTGCCCCAGGACAACTGCTACCCTTGTCCCTCCCCCCCTATTTTCCCCCACTCCCCACCCCCACCCTCCGCATTGGCTGCTCTGCTAGCATGACACATTATTGGTTCATAAAAAGGTTTTAAAAATATTGCCACTGATGACAATGGTGGGTCTTAAAAACTTGTCGATGGATGTAATTTTCAAAAGCACCCAAATCATTTAGACCTCTAATCACATGGGCACTTTTGAAATTTTTACCCAAAATCTTTAGTTTTAAAAATATTGCCACTGATGACAATGGTGGGTCTTAAAAACTTGTCGATGGATGTAATTTTCAAAAGCACCCAAATCATTTAGACCTCTAATCACATGGGCACTTTTGAAATTTTTACCCAAAATCTTTAGGTACCAAGGGCCCAATCCTGAGCTTTCTTGTCAACAGTTTAATACAGGAGTAAGTCCATTGAATTCAGTGGAGTTACACCTGTGAGAAAGGAGACTCAGACCCTAAGTAAGATTTGCAGGTAGCTGAACTCCATATAACCCTGATTCAAGAAAGTGTTCTTATTATCAACCCTGTCCAGCGCAGCACTTACAGCTAGGCTGTGTCTAGACTGCATTCCTTTTTCGTAAAAGGGATGCAAATTAGACATATCGCAATTGCAAATGAAGCGGGGATTTAAATCTCCCCCGCTTCATTAGCATAAAAATGGCTGCCGCTTTTTTCCGGCTCGGAGCTTTGCCGATGCTAATGAAGCGGGGGAGATTTAAATCCCCGCTTCATTTGCAATTGCGATATGTCTAATTTGTATCCCTTTTACGAAAACGGAATGCAGTCTAGACACAGCCCTAGAGTTTTTAAAGTATTGAGGACTTCTTATACTGCAATACCTTACTGATTCAGAAGCCTAGATTTTCTTTTCAAAAGTGATTTAGGCACTTGGGCAATGAATACTCTCAACTGTCCATGGGATTTTAGCTCCTAAGTACCTAAATCCCCTTAACTATTAGATTTAGGCACCTAAATCAGATAGGCAGATCAGTGCTTTGCACAGCAATGCCTGAACACCTTTAAAAATCTGGCCCTGAAGCATGAGCTTAATTTTGAGCATGAGCATACTTTAACAAATGAGTATGCATTTGTCTCATTTAAGTCGATAGGATCTAGGTGCTTAAAGATAAGCATACGTTTAAGTTTTTTCCTGAATAAGAATGCTTTCCAGAATCCTAGCCTATGTGAAGGTCATTACCAGAAAGAATAGGGCAGCTTGCAGTACAACAACTATTCTCTTAAGTAAAACAGGCAAGTTTTTCATTGCCACAACTGGGAGCTAATTTATAAGGGTCTAGTTTCAATTTCCTTTCAAGCTGGGAAAAGCTTTAACCAGAAATTCTTTCAAATTGTGGGATAAGAATAAATTACGGTAGAATTTTTACCATTTCCTTAATACCCCCATGCAAAATTCTGTTTGTAAAATCAAAGTCAGAAAGAGAACACAAAACATAAAGCCCTGCAGAATTTGGCACATTGAACCCAATCCTGCTCTCAGGTACTCCAGTGTGAATCTGAAGTGAACTTCGTTGAGTTTGAGCAGAGTCAACTTACATTGAGGCTTCAAAAAGACTAATCCACACTTAACTTCAGGTACAGGAGTAGTCCCAATTAAGTTAATTAGACTACTAACATGCTTAAACTAAGCACATGCATAAATTTGTACAGGGCTTTGCAAACTTAGCCTTATACCAATATAAAAGAACAATCAGGAGATGAACATTCTTTGAGTTTTTTCAAACTCTGGTTCGAAGTCCTTTTGCGGATTCAAAGATTCTCCCAATGTTCCTATTTGTGTCATGATTTGCTTCAAATAAATATACATGAGGGTGATGCGCTATATTTAATAGACCTATATGAAGATTTTTAAGTTATTTTTATTTTGGCTTGAGAAAGTTTACTTTCCTAAACAATCACTATTGATTTTACAAGTTCTGTACAAAAGCCCAGGATTGTACAGCAAGACATAATCAGTTTATTTTAAAGATTAACAATTTGTACTGTTTCTTCCAAATAGATTATTTCTTGGCTGGGGAGAGGGGAAGGCTATTTAACCTTTTTATGAGAGCCCTAATGTGTGACCTCATACAGAGCATGCTCTCTGATCATCTGATCCAAATCCAAAATCCAACCCAATTAAAGTAATTGTTACAAACAATCAGTGCTTCAAACAGATCCCATTTAAGGAAATAATAAAATTACAATGCATTAAGCCTGAGAAATATTCTTAATCCATTGTTTGGCTTTACACTCTTAATGAGATTTAGAGTTTCCTTTCATGCCTACTAAATAATCTGGCAAAATGGTTGGGCCATTAAAATTACTGTACCCAAGTTTGCTTAGTGACCAGCAATGCATTTCTGAGGCTGGAGTGGAATTGCCTAGTAAGAAATCTAGACAACAAAGTACCTTCCCTGTACTACAATGTGCAATATGTTAGCCTGAAATCATGGAGCAGGAAAGTGATGTACTGTCATTCCATCCAGCGCCAACTGTGTCAGGAAGCCTAACAACTGTCTAATTGAAAAACTGTTCTATTTTCAGTAC